GATGAGCAGGGATGCATAGAAGCCAGCCAGGTGAGGGGCACAGGGAACAGTATTCAGGCAGAGAGAACAGCATATTGGGCTGCTAGGAGGTGAGACCTGTGTGCTCCCAAGCAGTGTTGTCCCCAGTTAACAATTGGGGATGACACTTTGGCCCAGTTTTCCTGACAGGAACACACCTATCTTAATCACCCTGAAGCCTCGTCATCCCCTGGAGCTTGCAAGGGTATGGGTTGAGGCTGCAAATTTAATTCTTGTCACAGTTTAGATCTTGGGCCCGCTCCCTTCCCCAGCCTTTGGGTTGCCTTTGGCAGAAACCTTTTCATCACAAAGCTGGGATTAAGTTGTTTTCTTGGCCCTTCTAATTAACTCTTGTAATAAAAAGTCCCTGCCGAGTCTCTGTGATGTTCCCGTGTCTTCTCTCACCTCCTGGCTTGGCAAGGAAGAGGAAAAGCCGTGATGCTTCCTAGCGCGTGATGTTGCTTCTTTGCATGAAATCTCAGTGACTGCCTTTTTCCGATCATGCTTCTAGCTGCCAGCTACCTTTTAAGTGGCTCCAAGCTCCCCTCCCGCGAGGTGTCTGGCTGCTAGATGTTTACGGAGGAGTCTGGGCCGTGGGACCCAAAGCAGCCTCCACCCAGCATGCTCTCATGAACGAGTCAGTGTTAAGTCCCTGCCCGGTTCCGAAGCCCGGATGTCAGAACAGAAGCAGCCACTGGGCTGCCCCCAGACACCGACTCGGTTTCCGACACATGCTTTCTTGTCGGGGGCTTGGCGTTCCGGTGCCAAGCTGTGCTGCAACGGAACTTTGAAAAACATTTGGAACAGAACGTGGCAAGGCAGTTGCTTTTCAAAAAAAAAAAAAAGATTTTTTTTTTAATGTGTTTTCTCCAGTTTTTAAATTAGAATAAGCTTTGTGAGAGAAAATTAGGAAAACGTAGAACAGTTGAAAAGGAAGAAATGTCACTCACAGCCCTCTGCCCGGAGGGCAGCCATGACTATTCGTTTGATGTCTCTTTGCTGCCTATTCCTCAGGGATTTTTAAGTTGTAATCTGACGATTCTGAACATATGATCTTGTGTCTCTCTATCCAGCATTTTGGCTGAAGCTTTGCCCGTGTGTTACAAGCTCCTGCCTGGCAGTTCTATGGCTCCGGTCACCCCGCAAATTTATATCCTCCCGTTTATGGATTCTGAGGGTTCCCATTTTTCTCCTGTTCTAAAAAACGGCCAGATGCACATTTTCACACATGTAGGCTCCTTTCCTTGTTTGAATTTCCCAGAAGTGGGATGATTTTACCAAAGGCAAGGGATACTTTCATGGCTCTTCATCCGTGCCACCAAACTGCCTTCCCGAAGGGCCGATACACGTAGACGGGGTCCCCAATTTTTCTTTTATCGCATGAAGTACACATAATGTAAAACTTAACCATCTTAGCTGTTTGTATTGTTGCGTGACCATCACCACCATCTACCCACAGGACTTTTCCCTCTTCAGCTGAAACTCTGTTCCTGTTAAACCCTGACTCCCGGGCCCCCTCCCTCAGCTCCCCATCTCTGTGAGCTCGCCAACTCTAAGGACCTCCTGTAAGTGGGATCATAGTACTTGTACTTTGGTGACTGGCTTAGTTCACTCTGCATAACATCCCCAGGGCCCATCCCTGTTGTAGTGTTGTGTCCGGATTTCCTTTTTCAGGGCCGAATACTATTCCATGTTACTGCTGGACCACAGTTTGTTTGTCCATCATCCGTTGATGGACACGTGGGTTTTCTTTCTACCTTCCGGCTATTGTGAGTAGTGCCTCTGTGAACACGGGCGTATAGATAACTGCACGACGTCATACTTTCAGTTCTTCGGGGTATATACCCAAATTGTGGGATCGTAGGGCCCTTCCTTTTTTGGCTTTTTGAGGACATGCCAAACATTTTCGTAGCGAATGCACCATTTTACAGTCCCACACACCGTGTGCAAGGTTTCCATTCCTCCACATCCTTGCCAACACTTGTTAATAGGTGGTTTTTGCCTCAAGTCATGGTCATCCTAATGGATGGGAGGTCCAATTTTTAAATACAGATAAAATGGCTTTGTAGAGATATAACTCATACAGTCCACCCATACAGTTTTTTAAGATTTTATTTATTTGAGAGCGAGACAGAGAGAGAGAGCGAGCGAGCATGAGCAGGGAGAAGGAGAAGCCGACTCCTCACTGAGCAGAGAGTTGGACGTGTGGGACTCGATCCCAGGACCCTGAGATCACGACCTGAGCCAAAGGAAGTTGCTTAACCACCTGAGCCACCCAGGTGTCCCCCCAATCCCACCCATTTAAAGTGTAAGTGGGTTTTAGCTTGTTTGTAGAGTGTGTCCCCATCCCCACTGTCGCCTTTGGGACAAAAGAAACCCTGCACCCCTTAGCAGTGGCCCCCAGTCTCCACTCCTCCCCCAGACCTTGAGAACCACTCATCTACTGTCTGTCTTTATGGGCGCGTCTACTCACGACATCCAGGATAAGTGGAATCATACGCTATGTAGTCTTTTTTTTTTTTTAAGATTTTTTTATTTATTCATCCGAGACACAGAGATAGAGAGAGAGAGAGAGAGAGAGAGAGAGAATATGAGCAGGGGGAGAAGCAGGCCCCCCGCTGAGCAGGGAACCCGATGCAGGGCTCGATCCCAGGATCCTGGGATCATGACCTGAGCAGAAGGCAGATGCTTAACCATCTGAGCCACCCAGGCGCCCCTAGTCTTTTGTGATGAGCCTCTCATTTATAATCCTGTTTTCGAGGCATATCCATATCGTGGTAGCGTGTATCAGAATGTCCTTCCTTTTTATTCCCGAATACTATTCTGCTGTATGACGTACCACGTTTTATTGATTCATGGGTCAGTTGGCAAACATTTGAGTTTTTTCCACTCTTTGGAGATTATGTGTAATGCTGCCGTGAACATCCACGTGCGTTTGCGTAGACACGTGTTTTGCCTTCTCTGGGGCACAGGCTCGGGGCTGGAGCTGCGGAGTCACACGGTATCCCGAGTCAACCTTTGGAGGAACCACCGGGCTGTTCCCCAGTGGCCGTGCCATCTTGCATTTCCAGCAGCAGGGTAGGAGGGCTCCAAATTCTCCACATCCTCGTCAGCACTTGTTTTTATCCGTCTTTTTGACTGTATCCAGCTTAGGGGAGAGAAGTGGTATCCCCCTGTGGTTTGGTTTGGGTTTCCCTGCTGGCTAATGATGTTGGGGATCTTCTCATTTCCTTATTGGCCAGTTGCGTATCTTCTTTGGAGAGATGTCTGTTTAGGTCCTTTGCCCGTTTTTTTATTGGGTTGTCTTTTTTATTATTGAGTTGTAAGAATTGTTTCTATATTCTCGGTAAATCCCTTCTCAGATATAAATTTGCAGATATCTTTTCCCATCCTGTGGGCTTTCATTTTCTCAATAGTGTCTTTATTTTTTTTAAGATTTTATTTATTTATAAGAGAGAGAGAGAGCGCAGAAGCCAGGTGAGGGGCAGAGGGAGAGGGAGAAGCAGACTTCCTGCTGAGCAGGGAGCCCGATGAGGCTCGATCCCGGGACCCCGGGATCACGACCTGAGCCAAAGGCAGACGCTTAACCAACTGAGCCATCCAGGCGCCCCAACAATAGTGTGTTTGGAAACACAGACATTTTTTACTTTGATGAGGTCCAGTGTATCCATTTTTGCTTCTGCCACTTTGCTTTTGAGGTCACAACGAAGAAGGCTTTGCCTGGCCCAGGTCACAAAGATCTGCTTCTGTGTTTTCTTCTGAGCTCTATAGCTTTAGCGCTTACATAGGACCGAGATGTTTAACCAGAGGACTGAAGTGACTTCTCCTGTGTGGGTAAGGAAGACTGCGGACAGGGACAGAGGTGCGGGGGATTCTTCTGTTCTTAGGCACTGCTCACTGACACCCCCTGAGGGCCGATGAGGATGTAGGGACCCTTTCCTCTCTGCCCGCTGTGCTCCCCACCCACAGCCCTCCTGCCCATCCCGGCCTCCAGCACAGCTCCGAGTCATTGTGGGAGATCTGGATCATTGTCGTGGGTAGTTCCGGGACGTGATGGGGGGAGCTGGGCAGAGAGGAGGGCAGGGGGGCCGAAGCTGGAAGCTCCCCCATCTTGGTGTCAGCAGTGTGGGAGAGGAGAGCAGGGCTAAAGCTGATGGAGGAGGAGGCAGTGGGGGAGGGGACGAGCAGGGGGGCCGAGGAGCAGCCCGGGAGCGTGACCCAGGAGGCTGGGCTGCACAGAGGCCTGGGGGGATGGCCAGTGGCCCAGGAAGTAAGGCAAGGCCGGGCGCCCTGGCTGTGGCCATGGAGGGCTATTGGTGAGGTGGCTTTATAAGAGCAGTTTCTGTGGAACAGCCCAGAGAAGCTGAATTGCAATGGACTGAGGGCCAAGTTGGGAGGTGAGGCCGTGGGGCCAAGCAGATGTAGACTTCTCTTGAGAAATTTGGACGAGGAGAGAAAAATGGACACCAGAAGAATAGAGTGTCCTGGGAGGGTTGCATTAGGGTTCAGGGGAGTTGGAATGGGGTGTCTCCAGACTCCAAGGGTCTGAAGTCCCTGGGGAGGAATGAGCCTAAAGACACGGGTGGAAGGGTTGGCTTTGCTGGGGTGTAGTAAAAGAAATAACTTTCTGACGTAAAGTAGGATTTTCAGGATGTGGCAACATCCCGTTGCTAGAGATACTTGAGCAAAAAGGGTTGGCTGCCTGCCTGTCAGGGGCGTTACCGTTCAGATTCCTGTGCAGTGAGGCAAGTCGGCCTAGGTGAGGGATGGCAGGTACCTAGGAAGCATACCAGTGTTCTAGCTGTCCTGTTCCGCACCCCTGACAGGCATCACTAATCGATCATGGCACGCTGAGCACAGCGCTCCAGGCAGCCTCTCCCACCCGAGATCGTTAACACAACGTTGCCCTTCTGCTCTCCCTGCCCCGGGACCCTGACTCTCCCTTCCCTTCAGTAAAATGGGTCCATGTCTTACTGCTGCAGGGAAAGCTTACGAGATCACCTACGTGAGGCTGAAGTTCCATACCAGTCGCCCCGAGAGCTTTGCCATCTACAAGCGCACCCAGGCCGACAGCCCGTGGGAGCCCTACCAGTACTACAGTGCCTCCTGCCAGAAGACCTACGGCAGGCCCGAGGGCCAGTACCTGCGCCCTGGCGAAGACGAGCGCGTGGCCTTCTGCACCTCCGAGTTCAGTGACATCTCTCCGCTGAGCGGTGGCAACGTGGCCTTCTCCACGCTGGAGGGCCGGCCCAGCGCTTACAACTTCGAGGAGAGCCCTGTGTTGCAGGTCAGAGAGCAGCCGGGCCTGGCCGGTCGGGACTGGGCTGCAGGGGGGGATCCCCACGCCCGGGGGTGCACAGGAAAGTCACAAGTGGAAGGACACGGGGTCCTATGGGACCCCACAGTTTTCAGATCTTAAACAACAGAAGCCTTTGTGGTGTCTGCACGTGTCGGGGACACCGTCGGTGAGCTAGATGGAGGAGGACCTGCTCGGCCAAGCAGAAGCGTCCCTTCCCCTGCCTACTGCGGCAGGGCCCTGTGGCTCCCGGGAGCCCTGTGACAGCCACCAACTCAGCTGACCCCTGAGGGTGGGGACACTGAGGCCCGGACTGGAGAAGGGGTTTGCCGTGGGCACACATGAGTTGGTGGAAGGGCCCAGACCAGAACCCAAGTGTCCTGACTCCTCACTGGTGCTTTCTAGATGCTTCTAGCACACCCTCCGAGGGCCTTGCTTCCTTCCTCTGTGAACCGATAACGTTGCCCCCCTGTGTGTCCCCAAGGGCTTTTATGAGGGTAAGATGAGAAACATGAAAAGAACATGAGTTTGGGAATCGTGGAGTCCTGGTTCTGTGCTATAAGGCGGCGCTCTGTAGAATGTTCTGCAGTGACAGATGTGGTCTCTAGCTGTGCCGTCCAGGGTGGTAGCCACTAACCACGTGTCTATAGAGCACTAGAAATGAGACTAGCATGACTGAGGAAGTGAATTTTAAGTCTGACTTTAACGAATTTCAATTTAAATTGCCTGGTGTGGACAGTCAATTATAAAGCGGCCGGCACAGTGCTTGGCACATAAGAGGTGCTCAATCACGCTTTGAAGGGAAGAGCCCCCAGTGGCTCAAGAATAGGCCTGTACCTGTATCCATTCACACGTCCTGCTGTCCAGCCCACCAGGGTCTGCTCAGATTTGTGGCCTTACCAGTATTGGTCCCCACGCACGTCCACGTTCCTGAGTGTTGGTGACCTTTCGCCTACAGACGCAGTGCTCTGCTCGATGTTTCTGAGCACTGGACAGCCCTCTAGTCCACACCCCTGGGTCTCCTGTGCTGAGAAAGTCTGCCCTCCCTTCCCTTGATAGGCTCAGAACACATCCTTTGCCGGTCGGAGATAACCAGGGCGCCAGGGATAGAATTCCTGTTTATCTCTAGAGGGAACACTTAGGCCCAGAAAGAAATTGTGTCCCTGCCCCGGCTGCCCAGCACAGAGGCATGTGGAATCAGCTGATTTGGGGTCCCCAAGACCACCCTCAGGTTCAGCGATTGTCTTGAAGGGCTCACAGAACTCGTGACAGCCATGAAACTCCTAGCGACAAGAGGTGCCTGGAGCAGCACCCAGGAAGGACCAGGGGTGGAGCTTCCCGTTGTCCTCTCCCAGTACAGAGTTGTGGGGACGGCATTTTTTTCTCCCAGTGACGATGTGACGGCGTGCAGAGTATTGTCAACCCAGGAGGCTCGCCTGTACCTAGGAGTGGGTCATATAGACATGGCCCATTGCCTGCATGGCTGACCTTAACCTTCAGCTCCCGCAGAGGGCAAGCTGATTCTGTGTGGCCCAAGGCACCCGCATAAACCAGTTGTTAGCATAGACTGTCGGGAGTGGCCCGAGACCGCAGGCCAACAAAGACACTCTTACCAAGCAGGGCATTCTAAGGGCTTAGAAGTGACTTCCCAGGAGCGGGGCAAAGGCCAAACCTCTCTTTGGGCAAGGCTAATCCTTTAAGGTACAGGATCACACTTCCAGATGCCCGGGCCCTCTTTGTCTCATTAAAAGTATTCGTGTGTCATCATTGTGCTTCTGTTTTAAAATGACAATTTCTTCTCCACGGGGCTCCAAGCTCTGTAGATTACCAATTATTAGTCAAGGCCATCGGAAGACAAGCAGAGGGCCGGGGCCCCCCTTCCTGTGTCTGAGCCATCACCCCAGGGCAGAGGCTCACGCTGAGACCCTCCCATGACTTGTTGTCTCCTATGTGCTGGACGTTGTCCCCGACAGAGAAACGACCTCTTCAGAAATGCTCCCCCCACCCCCCTTCCCCCGATCCCAGGCAGTACGCAAGGTCAAAGAAGGACAACGAAAGGCAAGCCCTCCTTGCCCTTCTGTCCTTCCTTCTGGGTACATCTGGGACGGTGCTTCCTCTGAGGACTTGGAGCATTTCGGGGTGGGAAGTAATGAAGGATGTGTCCATGTGGCTGCAGGGTCTTGGGTCCCTCTGTTCCCCAAGAGGGGTCAAGGATCGTGGGGAGAGGGCCAGCTTGCCAAGGCAGAATTGGGCCACCAGAACCGAGTGGTCACCTGAGCATCTCCCCTGCGGGGTGCTGGCTGAAGCAGAAGCTCCCCGCCCTCTGCCTCTGAATGCCATATCCTGGACCCCAGGGTCTGGCCAAAATCCACCCGAGAGCCCACTCGTGGTTTTAGCTGGGGCCATTATAAGCTGCAAAGGCCCATTGTACCTTGGGGCTTCAATTTGCCCTAACATGACCTTTAAGGCATCAGGGAGAGCCCCATACAATTTGGGCTGAGGGAACAAATTCCCCTTCTCTCTCCCAGCCAGCGACCCCGTGCACTCTGGGCTCCGCCGCCCCAGGCACTAGCTCTCTGCTCCAGGGACTCAGCGGCATCAGCACAGCCAAGACATTTGCTAGAAATGCAGAACCTCAGGCCCCGCCCCTGACCTCTGCTTCAGAGACTGCGTTTTAACCAGATCCCTGAAGGTACACTGACATTTGCCAGGCGACTGGCTGAGTGACGGGTGCTTACGGACTCCGCTCGGTGCTGAGGCTCCCACTGAAGTTCTTCTGGTGCCGGACCCTCCCTCCCCAGCGGAAACCTCCTTGGGCAGAGGCCCCGGGTCCCAGGCAGTGGGCTGGCGAGCTGCGGAGCTCAGAGGGAGCAGCAGAGACCCTGCGTCATGCTGGGGCTCGAGGACAGACTTTGCCAGAAGTTCGTTTCTGCCCTGATGGGCCTGATTGCTAAACCAGGAGCTCCTGGGCTGAATTAAAATGCTGATTAAAATTCAGCCGGAGCTGCCTCTGTGTACCTCTGATTATAACAGCAGGCGGATGAAAATGTCAGCCTTCACGTGGGCTCTCTCCTACCTCCCCGCCATGCTCTTCCAGGGGGAAGGTGTCATTCAGCGATCAGCAAGTATTTACTGAGCGCTTGCTACATGCCAGGCAGAGCCTGGGGGCTGGGGATGCCATGAGAACAAGGGGCCCCAAGTCCCTCCTCTTGTAGGTACAGATGTCACCTGGGGCAGGTGACTGGCTCTGGGAGCCTGAGCATATGAGAAGCCTAGAAACTAGGGCCTGCTCCACATCAGGCCCAGCTGAGTGGGGGAGAAGGGCACTGGGACATGTCCTCCCCCCACTAATATCTGGGGTGGGAGAAGTTAAGTGTAGAACAGGTGATAGGATGGGCTGCTTCGGCCCTGCCCCCCAGCACCTTGGCCACTTACTGAGCATGTCCCTACCCCACGCCCCACTGCTGACATTGGCCATTCTCCTCCAAACACCCTTGTGGGGTTGGCACAATTCCTTGTCCCGTTTTACAGGTGGGGAAGGGGAGCCTCCGAGATCTCGAGTAATTCCCCCAAAGTTGCACAGCCAGTAAGTGGCCTGGCCCCCAGGCTGGCGTGATCCCAAAGCACAGGCTCCTTATTCCTGCACCGTTCTTGGGATTTGTCTAAGCTTCGCTTGTCCCTGGGTCCCATGAGACCCGCAGGGCAGCCGGACCTCCAAGCAGAACTCAGGAGCCTGCTGATGCCTTCCCTCCTCCACCCTCGCCCCCCCCACCCCCCAGGAGTGGGTCACCAGCACCGAGCTCCTCATCTCCCTGGACCGGCTCAACACGTTTGGGGACGACATCTTCAAGGATCCCAAGGTGCTGCAGTCCTACTATTATGCCGTGTCCGACTTCTCTGTGGGTGGCAGGTAGGTGGAAGGCAGGGCGGCAGGGCCTGGGAGCCCAGACCCTGGGTTGGGGACAGAAAGAGGGTGGCCACCATATGGGGGTCACCCAGTGGCTGCCGTGGAGGGTGAAGAAGCCACTTCAGAGGCCTCGGGGGACAGAGGAGGGGCAGGATCCTGGTCTCCCGGGCCTGGCGTTCGAGGTCTTCACGGCCCAGCCACATCCCAGCTCCTGCATTTCCTGTATCAGCTGTGCCTCCGCTACGGTGTGCAAGACATGCGAGGCCTTCGCCCATGCCGATCCCTCCGCCTGGAGGTCCTTGCCCCTTCACTTTTCTCCTCCCTCCCTCCCTTCCTTGCCCCCTCCTTCTCTCCCTCACTCCCTCCTTCCCTTTCCTTCCTTCCTTCCTTCCTTCCTTCCTCATCCTTTATCCCTTCTCCTCTGTTCCTTTCCCTTCCCTCCTTTTTCTTTCCAAGTCCACCTGGTTAGGGATGACCACGGGCCCATGCAGGGCTTGAAGCTTTCAAAGCTTTACTTCTATCAGCACTCCTGATTTTACAGACCACGAAGCCCATCCACACCATTCCCGCCCCGGTCTCCTGCTAACCTTGGGTATGGTCGGGCTTCACGGGGACCCAAACATTTTTAATAAGACTTTGAGACACCTCCGCGCAGACAAACGGTTCAGGCCACTCCAATGCCCCACGGTCAACTACCTGGAAGGGGTCCCGAGTGAGCAGGGCCTGCGTTTCTGACCCCCTCTCTTCTGTGGGAACTGCCAGGCTCTGCCATCTGGACCCCTGGTGCTGGCTCCCCGGGCTGCTCTGGTTTGGCTGAGCATCTCTCCTCTCTGGGAAGCAGGGGCCGCCCAAAGGGCAGAGGCCTTGTCTTTCTCAACATCCCTGGCCTGGCCCCCCCGTGGCTGTCGGTATTGGGCACAACGTGGCGGGCTGTGGAACCAGGGGAGGCACACACAGTGTCTTCAGTAGGAATGCTTGGGGGCTTCCTTCTTGGAAAGGAAAGAGGAAGACAGAGGCGTTCCCGTCCCAACCTCAAGGGGGGGCGCAGACTGTGATCAGATCAGTATCCAACAAACATGTCCTCGCACCCCAGAGTAATAAGGACGGGGGCCAGGGCGGGGTGCGCCGGCGGGCAGGGAGACTGCTCTGCAGACGGGGGCCCAGCCAAGGTGGGAGGAGGCCAGCATCCTGGGCAGAAGGGCGAGCGTGCACCACCTCCGGAGACAAGGCTGCAAGATGGTCAGGACCGTGGACCGAGTTCATTCATGTCCCACAGGCAGTGGGGAGCTGTGGAAGGATTTGGCTGGGGTAGTAATAGGGTGTGAAAAGGCCCCAACCCCCTGACACCGCATGGGGAAGGGTAAGGAGAGAGAGAAGAGAACGTTAGAAAGTGGCCATGGGAGGGGGTGGTAGGGCGGGGAGAAGCTTGTGGATCCGCAGGCTATCTAGGATGGGAAGTCAGCCCACTGTGGGGGTCATGGCCTGTGTGAGTGGGAAGCAAGGAGCTTCTGGAATTCAGGGACGCTTGGGTGGCTTTCGGAGAGGTGGAAAAGCCCAGAAAGGGAAGGCAGGGCCCAGCTACCTGCACCCGCGGTGTCTGCATCCTCCAGGCGAGGCTGGGGCTGGGAGAGATGGGGAGGTGGGGGTGTCTGTGAGGGCCCCTCTGCGCCTCCTCCCCTGCCTCTCCCACGCTTGATTCGGGTCAAACCACCCGGGAGGAGGCGCTCTCCACGATGGCGGGTGGTGGCGAGCTCTGGCGCCTTCTCTCAGGGGGCTTTGGGCCAAAGAACATCTGGGCCCCATCTGCCAGAGTCAGACCACCCTCGGGCCTGCAGCTGGCTGCGGGGCAGGGGCCGGCACCGGCTTCCCACAATGGCCTAGAAGAATTTCATTCTCTCCCTTGGGGTCAGAGGGCTTCATGGGGGAGGGTGGTGTTCGCAGACCTCCCCAGGGACATGGGCAGTCCCTGTCCCAAGACCAGGGATCACCCTCTCTCAAGACTGCCTGGTGTCCACCTCACCCCTGCCAGAAATGCTAGGGCATTCCCTGCCCACCCGGGGCTCCCACGGAGGAAACAAGGCCCTGTGCTCTTCCCAAGCCCTGTGTCCCCAAAGCAGAGAAGATGCTCGGGGTGCTGACAGCAGTCAGGGCGGACATGGATCACAGCTTACGGGAGCTGTGTCCAGAGCCTCCAGGGTCCGGGAGCGTGGGGTCTGCGTGGAGCAGAACAGGGTGCAGATTCTAGCTCTGCCACGTCTCTTCTGCACCTGTCTCTTCGTGGCCTGAGCCTCCGTTTTCTCATCTGTGAAATGGGGGTGGGTGTGGTCCCTACTGCTGCAGCAGGGAGGCTCCAGCAAGAAGGTATAAGCTCAGTTGGGGGCGGCACAGAGGAAGGCTGGAAGCTGGACGTCGTGGTGGCCCCATGGGCTCGCTTGTGTCTGCCCAATTCTTCCAGTCTCCTGTCCCTGTGGGAAGGTGGATGCTGTGGGAAACGGGCCTCAGGGGCTGTCCCCCAGGCACAGACTCACTGGGGACATGAGATGAGTTGGGGGCTGTCCTCCGTAAGGAGCGACCTTTTCCTCGCCCCTTTAGACACAAAGGAGGACTGCGTGAGACAGTTTGCTGGCTGCCCCCTTCCTCCACCCTGTGCCCGTGAGCTGCCCCACCTTCCCCCCGGGGGACTGGGATGACTTCTTTCTGGGTCCCTCTCGGCTAGAACTCATTCGGCAGCAGCCTTGCAAACTTTGCCATTCCTAACTGCTGGCCTGGGGCAGCCTGCATGCCTCAGTTCCCGCATCTGTGCAATGGGAAGGATGGCGGGCTCGTGAAGATGCAGTGGGGCTGTCCGCGGATGCAGCGGACGGAGCTCAGGAGAGCGCAGTGCGGCCAGCTCCCCGGGCACATAGTAGGGCTTCCCCGGAGCCCCATCACTGAACGGTCGAATCGGGGGCTACCTGGCGATGAGCCCCTCCTCGGACGCTGCCTTCCTTAGTTTCTGGACCCCGATCTCCGTGTTCCCCCAGGTGCAAGTGCAACGGGCACGCCAGTGGGTGCGGTCCCGATGCGGCGGGCCGGTTGGCCTGCCGGTGTCAGCACAACACCGCGGGCGCCGACTGCGAGAGCTGCCTGCCCTTCTTCCAGGACCGCCCGTGGGCCCGCGCCACGGCCGAGGCCGCCAACGAGTGTGTGCGTGAGTGTCCCGGAGCTCTGGGCCACGGGGGCCGGGGGCCGTGGCACCGGCTGGGGAGCAGACTCCCTGAGACCGGCAGTGGGGGCTGCTCCTGACACTCACCCCGCCCCCCGTCACTGCAGGGATGAGGAGGGGCGGGGGGACAACGGGAGGGGGCGTGCGTTCCTCTGTCTTGCTCCCTACAAAGCACAAAGCGCTGCCCCAGACCAAATCCCCCAGTCGAGGAGGAGGTGGCTGCGGCAGGAGGGCTGGGAAGGCCCCCCCACTGTTCTTTGTTTCAAGGGCTCCAACCGCTAATCAAAGCCAGAACAGAAGGCCCCGGGTCCTGGGGGGTGCCGACCTGCCCACCCAGCCTCTCCCACAGCCCCCCAGGCAGCCTTTGATGTCCTAGTCCCCGTGTGTTGTGGCTTTGACCACAGAACCTCAGAGACAAGCTGCAGAGGACGGTGCCGGCATACCTTCCCCGGGGACGGGGGGCTGCACACAGCGGGGTCGGGACTGTCCATCACCATCCGTCCCGGCTTCCCACGGGCTCCGAGCCTGCCCTGTCCCGCCGAGAGTCACCCGAACTGCTGCTTCGGGCTCCCCGAGGGCGGCTGGCCCTCACTGGGCCCTGGATCCTGGCTGCTGGCAAGAGGAGCCTGTTCATGGGCACGGTCCTGACAGCCCGGCCTCTGGGCCCACTCCCCTCGTGGGCTGGGGCTGTTGGCAGCCAGAGCTGGGGCAGGGGCGGGGACAGCCTGTTCTGAGAACAGCGCAGCGCTGTCTGCAGGAGCTTCCCAGGGCCACCGGGGCCCTCGTGGGGTTCTGTTGCCCTCACTGGCCTGCCTCCGCCAGGAAGTCCTCCCTGGGGCCAAGGAGGTGGTGCTGGCTGGCTCACCCATTCTGAGCCTGAGGCTGACTCCATGGTGGGGACACAAAAGACCAAACCACTTCTGCCGTGTCCTCGCCCAGGGGTCACATCTCTGTCCACTCTGCCACCAGCCCGGAAGCCAGGGCTTCGTGCCTGACCCCTCACCACCGCCCAGGGCAGGCAGCCCTGAGCTCGGCCTCATCTACGTCCCTCCGGCCCTCCTGTGTGTCCTTCTACGCAGTCTGTGCCTTGGTCCCAGCTCCATCACCCCTCCTCCAGGCCTGAAGCTCCCCCTGACCTGCTCACCAGCCTCTGGCCCGGCTCTGCCCACAGCCCGAGGCTCTTGCTAAAGTGCCAGCCCAATTACACCCAGCCGCTGCCTGACCCTCCCAGAGCCTACCTTGCTCCAGGTGAAGTCCACTGACCACAGCTGCCTGGCCTCCCTGGATCAGGCTCTGCTGACCTCTTGACCTCAGAGCTGCCCCCCGCACCCCTCCCTGTCCCATAATGCTGCCCAATCAAGTGACATGCCAGCACCCCCCTCCCCGGCACTGGGCAGATCTTTTCTGGCTGTCCACGGCTTATGCTCCAGCCCTCACCTCCTGCCTGGGACTCCCCCTGCCCTGAGGACAGCCTGTAGGGTCCCTCCTTCAGCTCCCAGAGCCTCCCTGCAGCCTTCCACCTGTAGGATTTTCGCTTGCTTGCTGCGTCTGGCCCCCATCAAACAGTGGGCAGCACTGTGCTGCTCGCCGACCGCCCCCCTGCCACGCCAGGCTCACGACGGGAGTTGAGACGGACCGAGCAATCCTTAGTACATACTCCTTTTTTAATGAATTAATGAGTGAAGGGGTGACCTGTATTTCCATGCATCTGAATGACCTCGTGGTCACCAGGAGCCAGATCCACATAATTCTTATGGCTGAGCGGATCCGCGAGACAGCTTGGAGTGAGCCACGCTGCCACTCCAGAAGGTGGCCGGCCGTGATCCGTGCGTGCGGACGGTGCGTCTGGCTTGCCTGGGAGGGTCCTGGGTCTTGGTGCCCCCTGTGCTCTTGAGAGTCCTGTTGGGGAAGATCAGTCGACTGGTCTCCGTATTCTTGATCAAGCTGGACCTTTGTGGAGCTGCCCGCTCCTTCATTACCAGGAGGCGGATTGGCCCAGCCTCCCCTGCCGCCGAGCCCTGGCGCTCACGTGCTGCCCCCTGCCTCCTGCCTCCAGCCTGCAACTGCAGTGGCCACTCGGAGGAGTGTGCGTTCGACCGGGAGCTCTTCCGCCGCACGGGCCACGGCGGCCACTGCCTGCGCTGCCGGGACCACACGGCCGGGCCACACTGCGAGCGCTGCCGGGAGGACTTCTATCGCTGGAGCCCTCGGACGCCGTGCCAGCCCTGTGACTGCCACCCGGCAGGTAGCGGGCCCCACTGCCTGGCCCCCGCCGCCCGCCCCGGCCGGGCCCCCGCTGCCCTGTGTGCCCTTCCTCCCCCAGGCTCCCTGCGCCCCCAGTGTGATGCGTCGGGAACCTGTGTCTGCAAGCCCACGGTGACAGGCTGGAAGTGTGACCGCTGCCGGCCCGGCTTCCACTCGCTCAGTGAGGGAGGCTGCAGGTGAGGCGGCCATGCAGGGCACACAGGAGGTGGACTGGGCCCGAATGCCAGGAAGCGGGAGGAAGGGAAAAGCCGCTGTCCTCCCCGCCTGCCTTCCATCCCTCTTTCCGTCATTCCGTCTTATTCTCACTCCGCAGCCGCCCCCAGTCCCTCGCGAGGACTAGAGACACCCCATCCCTGGAGAATGTGAGACAGGGCATGAGTCCCTCGGAAGCCCGGCTGGGCTTGGGGGTCAAGGGCAGGCTTCCCGTGAGAGGCACTGAGCTCCTAGTGTGAGGCCTGAGAAGGGAGGGCTGCCGAGAGAGGGCAGAGGGAGGGACAGGCGTTCCTGGCAGAGGAAGAGTGCATGCAAAGGCTCAGAGGCAAGTGCAAGGCGAAGCTCAGTATGGATGAGCGGGGGGTGCAGGGCAGGAGGGTGCGCGGAGGAGGAGGGTCCGCCGGGGCCTTGGAGGCCTCAGGAGGAGCTGTGGACAGGTGTGAGGCAGGAGTGCGACGAGGTTGGAGGCCGGGGTAGAGGCTGCAGCAGGAACAGCTGGGAGACGTGGCAGCTCGCACTAGGGTTTGGCCATGGAGAGGCAGAGAACCGGACAGATTCCAGAGCCCTTCGGAAGGCAGAGTTGGCAGGAGGTGGTCACCGGGGAGCAGAAGAGGAATAAAGAATGAAGGCTGAGCCCCCGGGCCCCTGGGTGGAGGGAGGCCATTCATGACATGGGGAGCACAATACGGGGAGAGGCTGATTCCACAGTGCTGGTGGGGCATCCAAGGGGAGAGAGGGGGGCAAGGGGCTCCTGGGGTCCGGACCTCAGAAGAGGGCTTTAACATGCTGGTCTAACTCAATCACTTAATTGAGGAACACCCATGGCCAAAAAAATAAAGCTCTTAGAAACTCAGAAACACTTTTAAATGAACTGACTTTGGTTACAACAGTCTCTGTGTATTCGAAAGGCAGTGGAAATGCATCAGGATTGGATGGGGAGTCTCTCGGCTGCCCCACAGAATACTGAGTGGGTCTAGGCACAACTCTGGCCATGAGGCGGGAACTCAGATACCTCCCCAGGGTTTCTCTGGCCTCTGGGCCTTTGTATATGCTCCTACCCTAGGGTGTTGTTCTCCCCACAACCCCTTACCTCTCCCAGCCTGTGTCTAGCAAACCCCTCCACTTTCTCCTGTTCTCAGCCCAGGTACCACTCCCGCAGGAAGTCTTCCCTCTACCTGTCCTCTGTCCCTCACCTCAAGCTTCTCCTTGGTGCACCTGTGGCCTCTTATATTTCCTCTCAGAACATATCAAAGTACAGTATCTACCTGTTTGCTTGTCCATCTTCAGTTGACTGTAGGCTCTGTGAGGGCAGGAACCATGTCTCGTCAGATGGATGGATGGATGGATGGATGGATGGATGGATGGATGGAAAGATGCATGGATGGGTGAGTGAGTCGGATGGATGGATGGATGGATGCATGGATGGGTGAGTGGATAGGTGGGTGAGTGAGTCGGATGGATGGATGGAAAGATGCATGGATGGGTGGGTGGGTCAATCAATAGAAGGCTGGAAGGATGAATAAATGGCTACGTGGCTAGAAGAATGTTTGGATGGATGAGGGAGTGGGTTGGCAGATGGGTCACTTCCTTGGCAAGGTGGGAATGGTAAAAGCCGGGCGGCAGGCTCTTGGATCAGCCTACTTCCTGGTCCTCTAGGGAATGGGGAAGGATGGAGAAGTTCCCTCCCAGGAGGATGGGTTATCCTCACTCTGGAATTGCTCACTGGATACCTTTCCTACTGTCCTATCTCCTTGCAGACCCTGCGCCTGCAGTGCTGCTGGCAGCCTGGGTACCTGTGACCCCCATAGCGGACGCTGCCCCTGCAAGAGGAACGTGGAAGGCCACCTGTGTGACAGGTGGGTGAGCCAATCCGACCCTCAGCTTGCTGGGAGTGACTTAAGGGCTCGTGATGTGGAGGAGCAGGGGCAGGGCCCATACAGACCTGGGCAACTTCGCCACCTGTCACCCTTCCTGGGGCACCGTGGGTCTGCCGTCCTGGAAGTTATTTAAAGGTTCTGACACTGTTTATACTCTTTTATAAAGATTTATTTATTAGAGAGAGAGAGAGAGAGAGTGCACGAGTGGGATGGGCAGAGGGAGAGGAAGAGAGAATCTGAAGCACACTCCACACTCAGCGTGGAGCCTGACGTGGGGGTCGATCTCATGACCCTGAGACCATGACCTGAGCCGAAACCAAGAGTTGGGACTCTTAACTGCGCCACCAGATGCCCCGACACCGCTTATACTTTGACCCCTACACTGATGGTTAAAGCTGTGATAGCCATTCTTCTTTTACATCTTAAAAAAAAAAAAAAGAGCTGGAAAGGTTAGGAGAGATTCTCTAATCCAGGAATAGCAAATACCTGATACTCCCACCACTGCCCTCCCCGCTCACCCCCAGGACAGACGTCACTAGTGGAACGCCGTGGTCTTTACCATGAGCCCCACTATAACCTCAGAATCCTCTCCGCTCTACTCCAAGAAGCTTCTACCAGTTGAGCTGCGATTCCAACCGCTTTGCCGTCTTTTGTGGTACAAATGGAGTGTCCGAAGTTCCACAAGGCAAAATTACTTTTCCAAAGCCACATGCTCCTTAAACTTCCTCTTTGGTGTGTTCAGGGGACCTCCTAGCCCCAAGCAGTAGGGCTGGCGGACAAATGTGGGTTTACCTCCTTAGGCACGCACCGTCTCCTCTTCCTGGCTTTGGCTCTGACCTCTGAAGCCCTTTGCAATGAGCGCAGGGTCTGTCGGGGGCTCTTTGATTCTCTGGCTGCAGACCTGTGTGTGAAGCACCTGACAGCATTATATCGTGGACTCGACTCTTGTCAGTGTGCACTGGGTCTCTACCGGTTCAGAAGAAGCCGTGGCTGGCCCTGGCCTTGACTTGCCTCGGTCAGCCCCAGGCCACTCCCTCACCTCGTCCACATGTGGCCTGCAGGCCCTGGGGTGGGAGCTCGGCTCCCTGCTGGGACTTCCTTCCCTGAGATCCCTCAGGTGAGGAAATGGAGTGGAGTTGGGGAACCGGACCCCCACCTGGGTTCTCCCATGGCTCTGCCCCCCCCCCACCTTGCACCTTCAGGGGGTCCTCCCTCTGAGCCTCGCTTTGCCCGTTTGTGAAATGGGGCGGCTTGATGAGCTGTGCTCCTCAGAACTGGCTGGGCCCCAGGGGTCATCGACAGCTTCTTACGAGTCCAATACCTCTGCCCCGGCTGGCTCACACGGAGCCCCCAGGCGCAGACTGGGAGTCTGTGAAATGTTTCTCCAGGGCTCCTTGGAGAAATGGCTGATTCCGGGGCTGGGGCCGGGACCATGCTGGATGAGCCCAGAGTGTCTGGTCGTCACAGAGAGCAAGGAAGTGCTTAATTAAAAACAAAACCAGATGAAAACGACCAGAAAAAACCTCTAAACCAGGATGGGGGCCTGTGTCAAAAGGACACAAACATCGACCTGAAAGAGCTCCCAGAGCTGGAACAATTTGAACAACAAAATAAATAATGATGGTATTGGATTATAACCCAAAGAATCAAATAAATATCCATGAGTCCACACTGATATAAACAGATGAGGGGAGAAAACAAAAATAACACTGGGACGAGAGGCCAAATCTTCCTGGTGAAAGAATTCCAAATAAATGTAGAAGGAAGGGGGAGAAATAGGAAATCGGTTTGAATTTCACAGTAATGGTCATGATGGGCAAGAGACACCTAATTGAGTGGGCAGGATTTTAAGGAGAAACAGTATTCGCATTGCCCCAAGTATCTCCCTCGCAAAATATTTGGTAATTACAGTGGTGGTGTCCGAGTGTCTTTAATACCCCGCCCTCCAGGGGATGGGGCTGCATTTAGTGACTTCCTCCTGAAGGCAGAAGGTGCAGGAGCCTGTGGGCGGGCTGCACCTTGACCAGGCGGTAAAGCTTAACACTCCCGGTGATCTCACAGGGGCGTCATTTACCCCAACGCGATGTGACGAGAGGGACACTTCCCTTTTATTGCTTCCCCAAACCCATGGCCCCAGTCTAATCATGAGACCGCATGATTAGAGAAACCCGAATTGCGGGGCATTCTGCAAAACATCTGCACTACTCTTCAAAAGCGTCAAGGTCGTGGATGACAAGAATACTGCGTAGACCGGAGGAGGCACTGTGGTCCCGTGGTCCTGGACCAGATCCGGGCCAGGAAAACTGGCATTGGCGGAAAAAGGGCAGAGATCTTAATCAAGTCTGGAGTTTAGTACATAACGCGAACTAACGTGAACTCACGCGAATTTCTTGGCGTGGTTAAATGCACCCTTGCAACGTCGCTGATGTCAGGGAAAGCTGGTCAAGAGGCTACAGGAACTCCCTGCATGATCTTCGCAACTCCTGTAAATCCGAAAATGTGTATATATATATATATATATATATATATATATATATATTTGGAAGTTTCCCCTGTGATTCTGACTCACCTTGATCTAGCTGGGATCCTCTGAACGTCCCTGGCTCATTTGCCACCCCCTTCCCCCGGGGCTTGCGCTCCTTTCAGATGTCGCCCGGGGACGTTTAACCTGCAACCCCACCACCCGGCCGGCTGCACCAGCTGCTTCTGCTACGGCCACTCCAAGGTGTGTGCGGCCGCTGCCCAGTTTCGGGAGCACCACATCCTCTCCGACCTCCGCCAGGGTAGGAAGCGCCTCCCATCGCCCCCACAGTGACCTCTGGGCGGGGGGTCGGTCCTGCTCTGGGGAGAGCCTGCGGTGCTGGGGACGGGGGTAAGGGTGGGGGTGGGAAGGAGGGGGCAGCCTCAGGCTGCAGGGGAGGTGTCTCCCACGGGCTCACACACACAGGCCACACAAGATGTGCCCCTCTGCACCCTTCAGCACTCCCCAGTACCTACCTGCACCCCTTGGCTCCCTTCCTAGCCTCCAGCAGGGGTGGGAGCTGGGTAGGTGGCAGCCTTTAGATCCTGTGGGGGATTTTCTAATCAGTCTGTCAAGACTGGCCTCCCTTGACGTGTCCCAGTGCTGGGGATTCACGAACAATCCCCTGGACTCCATTTATTGAGCACTTGCCGTGTGCCAGGCACTGTGCTGAGCTCTTCACATGCACGGAACCCACGGAGTCCTTGGAAGGTAGGTACTCTCATTCCCATTTTACAGATGAGGCAACTGAGGCCCAGAAAAGGTACGTCACAGAGTTTAGTGGTTGGCATCCAGGTTTGTCAGCTCCTGAGTTTTGCTCTCAGCTGCTCTGCCAGCCTTCTGTCTGGGACAGGGTCCGGGGGTACCAGGGTGCCCTGGGTCCCCAACTGCAGGTGTGTGCACGTGCATCTTTGGAGCTGGAGGGCAGTGGAGCTCTCCATTAAATCACAGCCTACAGGGACCCCTGCCGTGGCCCACAGAGTCCCCTGACCCCTGCATCTCTGCCAGGCAGGAGGGGCCCCAGACAGGGGGCAGTGCGCCCTCTGCTGGACACTGCGCAGAAAGCAGGACGGAGATGGGACCCCGCATTGAGGTCACCTGGTGCGGGGTGGGGTGGGGGGCGCGTCTAGGGTGTTAGCATCAGATGGGACTCATTTTATAGATCCTAAGAACAATACCATTTTCTGTTCTCACATTGAGCCAGGTGCTGGGTTTGGTGCATCTGTCTCAGTATCTCATATACCTCACTGTGACCCTCAGGCCACAGTTCTCAAACTTTTTTGGTCCCTAGATCCCTTCATGCTCTTGGAAAATTACTGAGGACCTCCAAGTACTGTTCTTTACGTGGGTAGTTTACATGGGTATTTTCTGTATTAGAAATGAAAACAGTAATTTTAAAATAGTTATATATTAATTCACTTAAAAATGACCAGAATCAAGGTGTAACATAAAATAATATCAGCCCATGCAAAATGACTCTTTTTTGAGGGGAAAAAAGAGGGGAGTGCACGTGTATACTTTCGCACATCTCTTTAAGGCTGGATTAGTAGAGCTCAGTCTGTTGTGATAGCACATGACTTGCAGTTTCTCGAAAATTCCACCGTGTGTTGGTCAGACGCAGCATGAAAGATGCAAATTTCATCTTGGTGTTACTATGAAGATAGCTCGAACTCGTGGGTTCCCTGAAAGAGTCTCAAGGATTTCCCAGGGTATTTAGACCAACTTTGAGAACTGTTGCCAGGGCCAGAGGTACTCCATTGTCCTCATTTTGCGGATAAGGAACCAGCTTCAGAGAGGTGAAGTAACTTGCCCAGCGTCACACAGCCAGTGAGGGGCAGAACTTAGTCTAGCACCAGGGAGCCGCAGACCTCCTCTTTCTGACCGCTTTCCCTTCATCCCTCCCTCCTCACCCCTCCGGTGCCCCAGGGGTCAGGCCTTCACCCCCTTTCCCAGCTGCTCCCTTGGGGTCATTTGCTCTATGCCCTACTCTGCTTGGTGTAGTGCCGTCACCAGAGGGAGGGTGGACAGGATGGGGGATGGGAAGGTCTGGGTTCTCACCCTGGCTTGACCACTTCCTAAGGTGGTAGCCTCCCTGAGTGCAGTGGGGCTAATGACACATGCATCACAAAGGACAGGCTTGGTGAGGTTGCGGTGAGGAAGTTCTCTGAAGATCTGAGGATGAGGTCAAGAACGGTACTGTCAAAGATGGCCTGTTGTTCCAGTGCCCCGTGCTGGGGTCTCCAGACTGTGTCTTATGTTGTATTCAGGGCCCACTGAAGGAGCAAGGCAGGCTCAGAGGTTTGACCTTGCCCTAAACAGAGCCAGCACCCTGAGCTTTCTCACTTTTCCTGGGGCTACCTCCCACCCTAAGACCCCCATGCTGACTCTGGGGTGGGGGTCTGAGCTGCCTGGCTGTGGGCAGCAGGGAGCACCAGCTGGCTCTCACCACCCCCCCAGCCCCCACCTGTCTCTAGAATGGTCTCTCCCCACCTACCGGGGTCAGTTGTTTCAGGCTGTGCTCAGGCCTCTGGGGGCCATCAGTGGGACCCCTGGGAAGGATGTGAAGCGGGAGGGGGTGGAGGCCACCCTCCAGAGCCTCACACGGGCATGTGTGTTTGCTGTCTAGGAGCCCAGGGCTGGCGGACCGGAAGTGTGGGGGGCCCAGAGCATCCTGCACGATGGAGCCCAAGGGGGCTCCTCCTGAATCCAGAAGACGAGGAGGAACTTACGCTACCAGGTACGTGGGGTTGGCAGGGCTGCCCCACGTTCATTTCCTGCTTTGCCAAATGACCACCAACCCCGTGGCTAAAAACAATGCAAATTTATTCTCTCCATGTCCTGGAGGCCAGAAGTCTGAAATGGGTCTCCCGGGGCTAAAATCACAGCATCCACAGGGTTGCACTCTGAGGCTCCAGGGGAGAATCTGTTCCCTTGCTTTCTCCAGCTTCTGGAGGCCGCTCACATCCCTCGGCTCGAGACCCCTCCTCTGTCTTTAGAGCCGAGGGGTCTCTCCCTGTTGTAGCTCTGTGACGCCAGTTCTTCTTACTCCCTCTTCCGCGCAGGAAGGGCTTTGTGATTACACTGGGCCCCGGCAGATAATCCAAAATAATCTCTCTACTCTAAGGTCAGCTGATGAACAACCTTTATCCCATCTGCAATCTTCATTGCCCCTGCCATGCAACATACCGTATTCACAGATTTCTTGGATCGGGACATGGATACCTTTGGGGGCCATTTTTCCACCAACCACATGCCCCACAGAGTCTGCTGGAGCACCCCACCCCCGGCCTGCTTTCTGATCAAGGGCTTGCCACCAGGCTCCTTCAGCACCCAGAAATCCCTGTGCATCATCCATCAGTCTCTCACCCCGCCTGGCCGTGACACCCTCCTCCCAGGGTCCTGGGATTCCTGCAGAAGCAAGAAGTTCTAGATTATTCTGAACCACCCCCCACCAAGTAGGGCAACTTTGGTCTCCTGGGAGCTGTACCGGACCTGGAACCAGGATCCGGGAGTCCATTCTTAGCTCTCCCATGGCCAGATTCCAGGTCCACTGGCTCCCCCAACCCAGTCCTGCCCTTGACCTCCCTCTCCGAGAAGGGCTGGAGCGATGGTGCACAGACATCCGGCTTGCTTTGTGGACACAGCACCTGGCAAGAAGCAAAAGTCCAGGGGTCCTGAGACCCCCGTCCTGGGGCAGGTGCTCCAAGCTCAGAGGTCCAAGAGCACAAAACACACACTACTCTGTGGCTGCTTTGTCGACAGGCTTAAGAAAAAGTAGTTTTATGCTTAAGAAGTATTTGCTGGGTCCTGTGCCGGGCGCTGGGCACAGTGCAGTGGGTGAGGCAGGTGGACGGACTCAACCATTTTGATTTCACATCTTGATACGCACCACATTCTACCAACATGCTCTGCCTCCCACTGATTCCTGAGTGCCGGGGGACGGGAGGGAGATAAGCAGCAAGGGGCTGGTGGGGCCCTTTCCTGCCATGTGGGGGTTTTTAAGCTGAAGCCGTTGGAAGATACAGAAAAACAGCCCGAGTTCGAAGGCTGTGATAGGGCCCCTGGGTCCTCTGTGTTTCTTAGGAGGCCACCACCTTCTTTCTGCTCGAAACATGTTCTGACGCCCGTGGAAAGCATGGCCTCGGGCCGGTCAGCACCCCTGCTTAGCCACACGTGTAGCAGGCTTACCTTGTGCGTGCTCTGAGCCTCACTAAGCGCCCCCACGCGTGGGACCACCAGAAGCTGCTGGTGGGGTATTGTGAGCACGGATTGTGACGGGGACGGCTGGGTGCCACCACCGTGTGCAACACACGTGTCTGCTCTGCTCCCAGAGACTCCATTATCCCATCAGGCTTCACTTATAAAACCCAAGCTCGAGACAGTGACAGCAGAGCAGTAAGCCAGGCGTGGAGCCCTGTGTTACTGCAGGGGCAAAGGGACATGAAGCCGGCCTGCAGGGGGGTGTACGGCCACCCTCAGCGTCTGCTTTGCAGGGAGCCTTTGGCTTTCTCCCTGCTGTCGCTTTATCTTGTTTGGATATTTAATTGTCAATAAAATCAATATACTGGAGACACTTAAAATCTTTAAAATCAAGCTAATTAAGTGAAGACAAGCCTTTTTCTCGTCTTCAGAGAAGTTCCTGGGAGATCAGCGGTTCAGCTATGGACAGACCCTCACACTGACCTTCTGGGTCCCCCCCGGGGGCTCCCCACTCCCCGTGCAGCTGAGGCTGGAAGGGGTGGGTCTGGCCCTGACTCTGCAGCACTCCAGCCTTTCCGGCCCCCCCGATGCCGGGCAGCCCGGGGAGGTACAGCTCAGGTTCGAGTAAGTGTCCTGCTGTGTCCTGAGAGCGGGGGCTGGGCAGTCAGGGTGGTCCCTGAGGTCTGGGCACACGTGGATCGTCCTGTGGTCTGGGGCCTCCTGCCCTCTCTGCCCCTGCTGGAGGCTCCTTGGCACCACCTGCCCCCAGCCTTGGGTTCCAGTTTGACACCCTCCCCTGCCAGGTTGCAGGAGACCTCCGAGGACGTGGACCCTCCGCTGCCCCCCTTCCACTTCCAGCGGCTGCTCGCCAATCTGACGGCTCTGCGCATCCGGGCTGGTGGTCGGAGCCCAGGCCCTTCTGGTCAGTAATGACAAGGACAGCCCCCATCCCCAGAACCAGCCAGGTCCTGGGGCTCCTTTGTGCATAGCCTTGCTGAGTCCCCACAGCAGACAGTTACCACCCCCGTTTTACCACAGAGACACCTGAAGGTCAGAGAAGTAGGACCCTTGCCAAGGGGCATGTAACTGGTAAGGGCCGGGAGGGTGGACCCTGAGGACAGAGGCAGGCGCTGGACAGGTAAGGGGCCCGAGGGTGGACAGCTCTAAGAGACAGATTTGTGGCCATGAAGCAGCCAAGAACTGTTGCGTGTCGTCCGGCCACGGCGGAATCCACCACTGCCAGAAGGCAGGATCTCTGAGGGTCCTCTGTGGGCGCTGGGCTCAGGAGCAGGCCAGGGTCCCAGAGTTGGCTCCCCCTGCTGGCCACTGATGGTATTGCACCTAAGCCTCCCTGAGCGCAGATCCAGTTTCTGAACCTTCTCACAGAGGGGGCTGGGTCAGGACCCAGCTTCCAGGGGGCTTTCTCACCCTGCTCACATGGTGATGGTCCTGATGGTCCTCTGACTGTTCCTGGTTCCCCCTTCTTTCCTTAATGTACTTTCTCCTTCTCTCCCTACCCCCCTACCCCGGCTCCCATACCTATATGTGCCTGGACTGGACAGCTTCAGTACTCCCCTTTTAGAAGAGGTATCTCACATAGGACACCCCTTTACTATCTGGAAGGGAAACTTAGAGATATTATAACCTATCTAGACACAATTTTTAAAAACCAATATAGTATCCTAGTTGTAATCTACAGAGCAAATAAAAGGAAAGTAAATGACATACGAAAGTAATTGATTTCCAAAGTGTCAGTGCTCAGGCATGACCACACTGGACAAGAGTTGTTGTGACAAGAGTTTCCCCCACTGTGATGAGTAAGTGTGCGTGTCAGAGAAACCGAAGCTCGGGAGCCATTTGCATATGTGGAGAGCAGGGAAATTGTGACGCGGAGGTGTGTGCGTGGCTAATGCTAGCATAAAAACCAGGGTCAGGATCAGCTGTCCCCAGGCAGACTTACTTGAGCGTGTGGCGGGGCTCTCACTGACGGAGACCGAAGCCGCTGGTTTGCGTGGCCACAGGCGGCAGAGAGATGGTGAGAAAGGGGGTGCAGTTTTGCCACCTTGGTCAGTGCGGTTCTTTGAAAAGGTTTACTTAGCCTTGGTGGGTTCCTTGCTTCGTTAGGGGGTAAAAAAAGCCTTGGCAAAGTAACCATCCATTTGTGGGTGAAGCTGTAAAGCCAAGTTTCAATTACCCATCTGAATATGATTGACCCTTGTTCCTTAAGCCTTGTACATTTGTCATCTTGAAATCATCACTAAATCGGATTATTGGCCAGATCACTGTGAGTGGGGCAGTTAGAGGGGACCATAGCACAGACAGGGTACACACTGGTGACAAACTCCCAGAACTGGGGGGTGGGGCACCAGTGACATGATTTTCTGAAGTGGTGAGTGACTCTCGAGAAGATTCTCAGCATCACAAAGCATGGTGTTCCCTCCACGTTAACAGTACCTGCGTTACTAGACAATTCCACGTACACCTAAACATTCAGAAATGCCTGGTGCTAATGTTTAAAATGGAGTTGGAGTCTGGGCTCACATATTTGCTAAGGGGCAGCCCTGCCCCTTTTGGCATCCAGACGGACATTTGAAAGTCATGGGGGTGGGGTGCCTGGGTGGCTCAGTCGTTAAGCGTCTGCCTTCGGCTCAGGTCATGATCCCAGGGTCCTGGGATCAAGCACAGCATCGGGCTCCCTGCTCAGCGGAAAGCCTGCTTCTCCCTCTCCCACTCCCCCTGCTTGTGCTCTCTCTGTCAAATAAATAAAAAATTTTTATTTTTATTTTTATTTCTGCTCGTGTCAGGGTATCTGATAGCCCTGGTCCTTGTCTCCCCATCATTGTGACAACCAAAACAGCCACAACTTGCTTCTAGGGGGTGATTGGCTACTTTTGAGAACCTTGACTTCTGGGGCCGCTTCAAGTCCAGGCTTGGGGGTTGTAACCCAGCCCCTCCTGCCTCAGCTCCCTCGTTCTCTTTGGAGCTTCAACCCCATCATCCTTGCCTGCGCTCCCCAAAGCCTCCCTGATCCCCAGGTCACCCTGATGAGCCTTCTTGTAGGAATTTCATTTCTGCCACTCACTCAGCCTTCAGTTAACAGATGTTCACAAAGCACCTACTTAGGCCGGGCCTGTGCTGGGTGCCGGGGCAAACTGGACAGGCAGGTGGGCATACCGACCGTCCCTCTCCCCGCCCCTCCGCCAGCCCCAGACCTCCTTTTCCCACTGGTGATGTTCTGGGCTATCTCTCTCCATGCACTTGCTTTTTTTTCAGCGAATAATGTGTCTTGGAGGCCGTTACTTGTCTTACACATAGAAAAGGCTGGTTATCCGTCCACCGCTTACTGTTCCATGGTATAGATGCTCCCTAAAGTTTCCACCATCCTCCTATTCCTAGACATTGAAGCGGTTTCTGGTTTTTCACTATGCAAACAGTGCTGCAGAGAACAGGGAAGAGCTCCATAGAAAGGTCTTTGTCTCCTTGTGCGAGTCTGTCTGTAGCCTCAATTCCTCAAAATGGAAATGTTCGGTGTTAGGTCAAAGAGGGCACATTTTAAGTTTTGATACCTGCTGCCAGATTGTCCTACAGAAAGGCTGTACCGATCTTTGTTCTCAGGGCACGTGTCCACCCTCCTCCACTGTCTGCCTGCTCTGGTTCTTCTCCAGGGTTGATGGATCGTTGTTATATTTTGCCCTAAGATTCTAGTTTTCTGGAGGAAGGTTGGTCTGATAGGGGCTCTCTTGCTTCACTAGTAACAGAACCCTCAATTAAGCGTCTGCCTTTGGCTCAGGTCATGATCTCCGAGTCCCGGGATCAAGCCCCACATCCCTGGGGCGGGCTTCCTGCTCAGCAGGGAGTCTGCTTCTCCCTCTGACTGTGCTCCTCCCCCTCCTCATGCTCTCTCTCTCTCACTCACTCTTCTTCTCAAATAAAATCTTTAAAAAAAAAAAAGGAAAAAGAAACAGAACCCATGAGTTCCTCACACCATCTTTCCTGTCATTGATCTTTATTTATTTTTAAAGATTTCATTTATTTTGAGAGAGAGAGAGCATGAGCTGAGGGAGGGTCAGAGGGAGAGGGAGAAGCAGACGCCCCACTGAGCGTGGAACCTGACACAGGGCTCGATCGCAGGACCCCAAGATCATGACCATGATCAAGCCCTGTGTCAGGTTCCACGCTCAGTGGGGCGTCTGCTTCTCCCTGAGCCAAAGACAGATGCTTAACTGACTGAGCCACCCAGGCACCCCTCCTGTCATTGATCTTTAAATGCTGACCGATCGGAGGGGCGTGAATGGTATCCTCCTTGTTTAAATTTACGTATCTTTAAATAACCCATGAGAATGAATGTCTTTCCATAAAATTCCCAGCCATATCCATTTTTTGTTCTGAAAATTACCTTATTTTTCCTTTGTCCTTTGTTTTTTTTAAATTGTAATTGACTCATAGACTGCCTTTCCGTATGTGGGCCAATAACCCTCCCTTTGCCTGTGACGTATGTGAATAGGAAGGTCTTGGGGGGCCGGAATGTGTGCCCATAACTCTCTTCCTCTCTGTTCTCATTCTGCAGGCCAGGTGTTCTTGACCGAGGTCCGGCTCATATCCGCCCAGCGGGGGCTCTCCCCGCCAGCCTCCTGGGTGGAGACCTGCTCTTGTCCCAAGGGGTACACAGGCCAGTTCTGTGAATCCTGTGCTCCGGGATACAAGAGGGAGACACCACTGGGGGGTCCCTATACCACCTGTGTCCCCTGCACCTGCAACCAGCATGGCACCTGTGACCCCCACACAGGTGAGTCCTGGCACCCCATCCACAAGCCCCCTGGGCTACACCCAGCACAGCCGATGACCTGAGCAGGGTCAGCTGTGTGCATGCGCAGGTGATCACCAAGAGCAATACTCATGAAATGGTGTCATCAGGTTCCTCCCCATGTCAGGACCTCTTTATACACTGCATCGTTGACTCTGGCCGTTAGTGTCCCATCTTACAGGTGAGGGGCCCAAGGTGCAGGGCGGCCTCTCAGCAGGTAGGTAGCAGAGCTGCTCCTGCCACAAGTTCACTACCAGCAGTTCTTCCCCACCTGTAGCCAAGGAAACGCAGAGAGAGCCCTCGAGCAAGGTCATCAGGCAGGAGCTGCTGGACGGGGCCTCTCTCCACACTCAGGCCCTCCTGCTGCCCTCCTGGAGCAGGTGGGGGGTCTCTGAGAAGGGAAATGCCTGCACTGGAGCGGACAAAGGACAGCAGCCTGGGAATCAGCAGACTAGCTAGCATGGACAGACACACAGACACACACACTACTTACCAGGGGCTCCTCCAGTCTTTGGCTGAGGCAGGCATCACTAATCGAGCCCAGATGAGGCCTCCCAATGCTTCCGGGCACTGTTCCAGGTGGCCCCTACTGAGGAAGTGTGGTGCACGGCCGGTCCGTCACCCCTCGGAGCCTTTCGCCACCCTGTGACTTCCTGCTCCGTTTGGGCAGGTCCTCACCCGTCAGACGGGCAGCGAGGCCACAGCTGCTCACACTGGATAGAAAGAGGAGTGAGCGCAGGGGTGTGGGCCGAGGCAGCGACCAGCAGAAAGCAGCATGGGCATGATGGTCCCCCCTGGATTGGCCACCCTGAATTCCCTCTATTCCCCCCACCCCACTGGGTGCTGCCAGCCGTTCTGGAAGCGGTGGTCTTGCATCACTGAGCCCTTCTCAGCGGGGCTTCTCCCTCAGTCCCTGGCCATGGTGCCTCCCTTCCCCAGGGCACAGGCTCTGATCAGACTCCAGGTGCTGGAGAAGGGGGTTTGTACCATCCCCCAGCATGAGCAACGAGTGGGGGCGAGGGTCTGTTCTATGAGACCAGGCCGCCTCCGGGAACCTGCAGACCCCATACACGGGGAGCCTCCTTGCAAACTCCTGTCAGGAACAGACTCCTGGGTCTGTGTCGCTCTTGCTTTGGCCCCGGAGGTTAAGAGAACACAGAGGAAGGGGCAGGAAAACGGTAAGTGTAGACACGGATGTGCCATCTGTTGGGTCGCTGATAGGTTTTGGAATACAAAATACCAACAGTAAGAGTCCTGGATCATTCTGTAAGCCGGGGACTGTGCAGGGCACTCTGGCTGCATCCTGACGAAAACCCTCGAGGTCAGAGCCCTTGTTGTGTCCATCTCGCAGATGGGGACACTGAGGCACAGGGTGTTAGATGGTTTCCGCAGCTCCACACGGTAAGTGGTAGACTTTTTCTCCCCAGGCTGTGCTGCTCCCGCCTTGGAAGGTTCCCACCTCAGTTCTGCTGGGGATGTGCTCTGTGACCTCTCCCGCCAAGATGCCCCCGTCTCTGAGCATCTGGGCTCAGGTGGTCGTAACCAGGTGCTTGTCTTGCCTCTCAGGGATCTGCCTGTGTGGCCACCACACCGAGGGCCCATCCTGTGAGCGCTGCTTGCCAGGTTTCTATGGCAACCCCTTCGCAGGCCAGGCCGACGACTGTCAGCCCTGCCCATGCCCCGGACGGTCGGCCTGCACAGCCATCCCAGAGAGCAGGGAGGTGGTGTGTACCCACTGCCCCTTGGGCCAGAGAGGTGAGTGGCTCCTGCCCTGGGGCCCTGCCTCTGTCCTGGGCTCCAGGAGTGGGGTCCCGGGTTTGGAGTGTGACCGATGGGGGAGGGCCTAGCTTAGGAGGGGCAGGCCTGACCTCTCAGAACACGGCCAGGGCCCCAGGCTGCTATAGGTTCCTGGCAGAACTTGAGTATGTCCAGGAGAGCTTTTTGAAAATCCCCTTCTGGGCCCTGGCCCCATAGAGCCTGATTTAATAGCTCGAGATGGACCCTGAGAATCTATATACGTAACAAGTGCTCTGGCTGATTGGCTAATTATGATACACGGTTAAGGTCAAAAACCTCTGATTAAACTTTTAGCTTTTACTTTTTTTAAAGTTTATTTATTTATTTATTTATTTGTCTGAGTGAGCGTGAGCACAAGCAGGGGGAGCAGCAGAGAGAGAGGGAGAAGCAGGCTCCCCACTGAGCAGGGAGCCCGATGCGGGGCTCAATCCCAGGACCCTGGGATCATGACCTGAGCTGAAGGTGGAGCTTAACCGACTGAGCCACCCAGGCGCCCCAAACTTTCAGCTTTTGAAACATGTTGCCAGATGTTGTATAAGGCAGAAACTCCCCCAGCCCCTGCTCCAGGACCCGGGGCCACCCTCAACACCTGATTCTTTTTTTTTTTTTAATTTTTTTATTGTTGTGTTAATCACCATACATTACATCATTAGTTCTTGATGTAGTGTTCCATGATTCATTGTTTGTGCATAACACCCAGTGCTCCACGCAGAATGTGCCCTCTTTAATACCCATCATCAGACTAACCCATCCCCCACCCTCCTCCCCTCTAGAACCCTCAGTTTGTTTTTCAGAGTCCATCCTCTCTCATGGTATGTCTCCCCCTCCGACTTACTCCCCTTCATTCTTCCCCTCCTGCTATCTTCTTTTTCTTTTTTCTTAACATATGTTGCATTATTTGTTTCAGAAGTACAGATCTGTGATTCAAAAGTCTTGCACAATTCACAGCGCTCACCATAGCACATACCCTACCCAATGTCTGTCACCCAGCCACCCCACCCCCCCCCCCCCCCGCCACTCCAGCAACCCTCAGTTTGTTTCCTGAGATTAAGAATTCCTCATATCAGTGAGGTCATATGATACATGTCTTTCTCTGACTGACTTATTTCACTCAGCATAACACCCTCCAGTTCCATCCACGTCGTTGCAAATGGCAAGATCTCATTCCTTTTGATGGCTGCATGATATTCCATTGTGTATATAGACCACCTCTTCTTTATCCATTCATCTGTCGATGGACATCTTGGCTCTTTCCACAGTTTGGCTATTGTGGACATTGCTGCTATAAACATTGGGGTGCACGTACCCCTTCGGATCCCTACATTTGTATCTTTAACACCTGATTCTGTTTAACAGCTCTTTTGAGATAGTATTCCGTACCTACAATTCGCCCACTTAAAGTATACAACTCAATGATTGATTTTTTTTTGTATATTCCATTAATAATTTTTTAAATTATGGCAAAAAACGTATAACATAAGATGTGTCGCTTTAACCATTTTTAACCATATAGTTGAGCAGCATTAAGCACAGTCACACTGTTGTGCAGCTGTCCCTGCCATCTGTCTCCAGAACATCTTCCCAAACAGAAACTCTGTCCCCATTAAACAGCCCCCCCCCCACCCCGCAGTAAGCACCGTTCTACTCCCTGTCTCTCTGCATTTGACTCTTCCAGGGACCTCATGTGGATGGAATCCTCCAATGTTTGTCCTTCTGTGTCTGGCTTGTTTCACTTGACATAATGTTGCCAAGGTTCTCAGACATCTGACTGTATATGTGGTGACTGGCTGCCTCAGGACTGGCCATTACATGGGTCCTGTCAGGTGCCTGCTTTGCTGGGGAGCGCTCTGCTCTGGAGCAGCTCCCCACAGCCAGCCGCAGGAGGGGGGCGGGGCAGGGGCCCCAAGGACAGAGCCAGGTCCCACCTGGGGACCCTGCACCCCACCCTGCCATCGTGTTGTGCCTCTGTTCCCTAACCTTCCCCACGTTTTCTGGCTCCCCCCGGTCTACAGACGTGAGGGGAGCCCCCTTGGTGGGTGTGGACAGTTGTAGAAGTTCAGTCTGGCCCAGGCTGAGCTGCGCCTGAGGGAGACTTTGGGGAGCAGGGCACTGCAGTGTGTGGAGGGAACAACCCCCTGGGAGGGGTGCC